GGGGCTTCATAAAAGCAGGAAATGATCAGCGTGTTAATGGGAGAAGGGACAGAGCGGTTTAGAATAAAGGTAAATTATGTGAAAAATAATGCGTTTTTTAAAAAACAAAGCATTAACACATGTTAGACTGCACCCCATAAACACAATCAAGCCTAGAAAAAAACCAGTGAACCACACCTTTAATTGAAAAGTGTAGTGTAGGAGTAGTAGTAATAGAATATGTTTTTGTGGTCGTAATGATGAAAGCGCACACAAAACAGTATCAGTTTCGTGCTCTGGTGCGGTTAGCGCTCACACTGAATACGTACCGCACCCGAGCCCAACCGAACCGTCCCACCTCTTCCAACCGGGCCAGGGACGGCGAAATGAACCGCGCCCGAGCGCGGCACGGAATGCTCACACTAGTCAAACGAACCGGGCTTTGGGGGTCAAACGTGCTCGGGCACGGTTCAAAACGCCTAGTGTGAGTACACCCTTATTCTCCCGCATCCCGCACACATACGAGTCTCTACCCGCCCGCACTCACACTCGCCCATCAAGTGTTGTCCCGCGCCGCACTCTGCATTGGGTCCCGCGATCGTGCAGGTCTCTACTCGGAAGGTGCCTGTTATAATGTTATGATCGAGGCTCTGGACTCTGAGCATAACTTGTTTTTCTATAACAAACTATAAAATATTTTATATAAAAACGTTAATGCCCTGGCAGTGGCAAATAGCTTTGGTTTTATATTTAATTTGATTACATTAATGTTATAAGTTGAGATTTACAAGAAATATTTTAACTGCTACTATGTAAAAGGAATACTGCAGTAAAAAAAGCACCTTGTGTTTAAAGTGTTTGCAAACCAAATGTTATTGCACTTTTGTTCATATAGCAGTACTTTTAAATGAAAAAAAGTGCACAATACACTACTTTTGAATTCATTAATGAATTTTGTGCATAACAAAATCATGCGATTAATCGCGATTTAATCGCATGATTTATTTAATCGTTGCCCAGCACTAATATATATGTGTGTGTGTGTATATATATATATATATAGAGAGAGAGAGAGAGAGAGAGAGAGAGAGAGATACATAGATATCAATCACTGAAAATATTATCTGGAAATCACAGCATCAAGTAAAAAACTGTCTTTAGGAAGGAAGAATCTTTTCCAACTGGCTGACTGTTTCTTCCATCTATCCAGACATTCACCCCTAAAGTAGAACTACCATGTCGTTACTAAATCTGTACTAAACATCTACAAGGTAAGCTTCTTACCTGTGGTTTTTCTTTTGTCCAGGCCTTTTCCTACACAATGTAACGCTGCTGTGACCACAGTGGGTTCAGAAAAACCAAGGATCTTCTTTACTGTACGTTCCACCCATGGCCTCAGCTCATCAACCTCACGCTTGGGCAGAGACATGCTAGGGGAAAATCTAACAAACAAACAAAATGCAATACTAATATCACAAACTTGCTTTAGTTTATAATTAGTTTCACATTAATAGATAAGTCTTATGGTTTAGTTGCGCTCCTTTACAAAGAGCTGTTTGTAATTGTTCTCAATGTCCTTCTTTGACTGTTTTCCAGTTCACACATCTTCAATGACAAATTATGTAACAGTAGGAAAATGTTTTTCATTATTTATGAATGTGATTACAACTGATGTATGCATAATTATACATTCTCCACAATCCACTTTCTGACAGCTCCAATTTACTAATAATCACACTTTGAACTGACAGAAAGATGTAGTCGCAAAATCACAAAAAAGTATTTCTAATATAAATATGTAGAACTGAAACATATAGAACAGGGCTCGACAGTGCGACCATTTCAGTCGCATTTGCAACTGAAAACTACTGCGTGCGACTATTAAATTTTTTTTAGGAGCACCAGTGCGACTGACCCGATCATCATCATACTTGTGATTGCGCTCAGGGGAGATCAAAGATTTCTATTGTTAATACTGATTTCATTTGATTGGTAACTTATATTTTTTATTCTACTCTTCTGTCGTTTTAATTAAAATTTTTAAAAAGCTTATAAAATATAATTTTTTTAAGAATTTGACAGAAGATGACATACTTTTAATAAAGTTAGAGGAGTCAAATATCACCTCGTAATGGAAGGCTACTTTTTGATAAAATTTTGGATTATTGATTAGAAGGTGCTTCTAAAATTTTGAATGTGCTCCTAATTTTTTTAAGTTAGGAGCACAAGTGCTCCTAAAAAGAAAAGTAAGCGTAGAGCCCTGTAGAATCAAACATAATTATTTACTACAAGTTACTACAAATGCTGACTGACCAAAAACCTTCGTCCAAACATTATGGTAATCAGTCTGACTTCGAATCAGTGCAATAAATTGATGCATGATTCAGTTCAATGGTGTAATTGCCTCAAGAGATCACTTAAGCGGCTCTAAACCTATAAACATACGAGGCAATATTACATACCCGTAATAAGTTTTCAAAGAGGCCAAGCAGTGTTTCCCCTGCCATTATATTAGGGGGCGGCCCCATTATATTTTTGACAGTCAAATTAATTTTATTTAATTTTATATTCTCTATAGCGCCAGATCACAACAGAAGTCATTTAAAATGACCTTTCCTTTAGAACATGTCTATACCTTGTTCTTTTATTAAACAAACTAAATAGCCTTATGTTGTTTATCTTATTTACACGAGGGCATGTCATTTCTGTCTCTACGTTACTTGGTCGAGCTCTCTGTATCGCGCACAGCGGAGTTCCGCCCCGATGCACACACACAAGTGAGCACACTCCCACTAGTATTTGTAAATATTAAGCCGCAAAACGACTATTTAAATATGAATTCTGCGTGTCTCTGTGTTAATGAATGGCGCAGATGCGCGGTTTTGTTTACTACTCGTACTGAAGCACATGCGCGCGACGCTTCCGGTGATATTAACGTCTGC